AATAATTTTTGAAAAACACAAAATATTAAATGATTTATGCTAATGGGAAACATCAATACTCACACATATATATGTATAACAATTAATATGAATTTAATTATTAATATTTATTTCTAAATTATCTCTATACATATTTAGGTTCTAAATATAAATACTAATTCAAATTATATTTATGGATATAATTTCTTTTAAATATCAAATTTAACAATTTTTTTTTTCTTATATAATAGAAAAAGTATTTTTAAAGGTTAGTCAAAACCGAAATTACAATATATATAATTGAACATAATATTCAATCAAAATGAATTGGCTTGCTTAGATTTTATAATTCTTCGAATAAGGCTTTTATTTATTCCTAATCATCAACTTCTTATTTTGGTGATTCAAACAATGGTTAATTAAGATTAGTTTCTAGAGTATGAAGTTCATTCTATAAGAATTTAGTTGTGAAGTATTGGGAGATATCTTGTGTTATTATTAATATGAATTACTTTTAAACTTTTTATGTTAAGACATAGCTCCTATGATAATATCTATCCTCTCCAATTTATGATTTACTTAATCAAATTGACTATGTAATAACTACAATATAATGAGTTTCAACCTTTTTAAGATTCCACATTTCTTCCAAAAGCACACCACTCTTTTATTTTAATATTTGCATATCTTCATCTAATCTTGTATTTGTATCTTTAATATCAGATGCACACACCCTTAAGATATTTTACTCTTCCTTCAATTTAGCAGCTAAACAAATTAATATTATAAAATACATGGTTGATTAGGATTTACAGATTCCTAATTCCCATCATCATTGTTTCTTCGCTTTATAAATTGTAACATCTATCTATTTAAAGGATGTTTAAAATTATTACTTTACTCCTTTTCTAAAACATTTGTGTTTAAATTCTTAGCCATCCTAATGTTTACTCTTTTTAAAATTATATAAATTCAATTGTCTAACTAATCCTTCTTTAAATTTACCTAAGAAAACTGGAATAATTTCTATGTTTAAAATATTATGGCAACACTTATTATTATAATAATTTTTGGCTTTTTACTACAAAACTTAATCCTTCCTCAGTCCAAGAAACTATATGAGATATTGATTGATCCTAAACCTTTATATAAAATTTACTTCTAGCATTTCAAATGTTTTAGTTATAAAAGTTGGAACTAATGAACGAGTAGCCATTGTTAATAATATATAAATTAATTTTAATATACCAAAGTATTCATTTAGTATTGTAAAAAACATACTGAAACTAAATTTATTAAAGTAATTTATAGGTTCAGCTAAGATAAAGATATTAATTAAAGTGTTTCCATTAATATATAAATAAATCAATACACATCAAATTAAAATGATTGGATTAATAACAATTATCTTAAACTAATTTTAAATTCTGTAAGAATATTGATAATTATATTATTAATTCACAATATTTATTTACAACAAAATCAAAAAAGATATATACTTAAATATTTTGATTTAATTGTTTTTTTAAATAAGTTCAGATTTAAGATTTATTTATTTACTATTAGTTTATTTCTGATTGAAAAGTATTATTAAAATTTATAGATTCGATTATTTAATTTAAAATCTCTTTGAAATCAAGTTTCCTTATTTTTAATGAATAAAAAATTGATTATATTCACTTTTCATTTTTCATTCTTTATTTGATGATATATTTTCTTATATATTTCTTCTATTATCCATACTCTATGTTTGAATTTGTAAATGATATATAATAAATCAAATTATTATTTATTAAAATAATCAAATTCTGATTCTAAGTTATTTTTAATTATAAATAATAATTTTATTTGACAATTATTATCTTTAATCTTACCCATTTATCAAAATCATAATATCCTCATTAAAGAATATAGAAATATTTATATATATTTTTTCATTTAGTCTAGAATAGTATTAAATTAGCTGATATTATTGTTTCTTTAATTAGGAAGAGTCTTTTTGAGTTGAATATTTTATTTAATTAATTTTAGAGCTTTTTCCAATATTACAGAGTTATTGTTGATTAAACGTGTATTATTATTAAAATTATGAACTACACATATTTAGCAAATATAAAATTCTTTTTTATATTAACAATTAGTATAGAAATTATTTTGGAATACTCAAATTGCCTATATATATTCATTTTATTTTATATTTAAAAAAAAATGAGATCAATAAATAATTCAATAGATACTCCCTCTATAAAAGTTAAATTTAATCAAAATGATAAAGTTGATGAAATGAAAACCACAAAAACCATGAAAAAAAAACATGTTTAACCTGAATTATCAATAGTTTGGGAATTTTATATGTATATGATCATGTCTATTTTGATTGAAATTATCATATTAATTTTTAACAACTAGACTTAAGTTCTCAATATGATTAGAATAATAGTATTTATACTTATTTTTATGGGATCACTCATTTACATAAAAAAATTACAGTAAAATTAATTGTTGTGCTTGATATGTTTGATTAAAATATTTTAGACTTCAACTATTTACTTAAATGATGAAGTTTATTTAATTGCTATAATCCCATTTGCATATGATTAAATTGTTAACAACAATAAAGTTGCAATTAAATTGAAAGTGCTTGAAAAAATATTAATGAAAGTCATAGTTATAAGTTTAATTTGCATTTTTTCAAAATAACCTATAGCCATAACAATAAATTTATGTTTAGTGATTTTAGAAATCTATAGAAATCGTATTATTTTTACAAAAAAAGAGGAGAAATAATCATTAATTAAACATTAAATACCTCTTGATTATGAATAAGTTTCTCATAGTGTTACTTAGAGAGTAGATAATAATTAAAGAGAAGATATATGGAAGAAACGATTTTATTCGATTCCTTTATCAATTTTAATGATCTCAAAAGAGACTTTAAAAATTACTTATAAAAATCAGACTTTATTTAAATAATTTTGTGATAGTTTTATTAATGAAGAGGAATTAGAAGATCTTATATTAAATAAATTACATTTTTCACTTTTATCAGATCATTAAGAATTTTTATAATTATCTTCTACAAATATTATTAAATTAAAATAAAAAAAATCAAATTCATCAAATATTTTTAATTAGAAATCTTGTATGACTTAATTAAGTTCTTATGATTTAATGCAAAAAAGATCTTTGATAGAAATCTTGACTTCAATCAAAAGCGAAACTTATAATTTATAAAAAGACGTTATTGAGTTATTTTGTCAGTAAACTGAAATATCTGGTGCAAAATATTAATTAGAAGCTAAAATTATTTTGTCTGATAAAGATGATGAATTTTTTGTAACAATTAATGACACAACAAAATAAAATGAAATCCAGTAATTCATTGTAAAAGAAGAATTTAAAAGCAAAGTAAATTATATATATATTTGAGATTATAGAATCATTTTCGCATGAATTAAGAACTCCATTAAATAGTGCTATTAATTTTTTAGAGGCTTCAATATCTGATAGTACCATAGATGATAAATTAAAACTTTAAACTCTTGAACCAGCAGTCTATTCATTAAAATTACAATCATATTTAATTAATGACATCATAGATTATTAAAATTATAATGCAAATTAATTAGAATTATATGTAACTGAATTTTCAGTACAAGATTTTCTAAGTGAATTGACATCACTATTTAGTATTTAATTTGATATGAAGAAGATTGCTTTCAATTTAAATTTAAAAAAAAATAGTTTATAATATTTTAGTACTGATTAAACAAGACTAACTTAAATATTAGTTAATCTTTTGTAAAATTCACTTAAATACACTTCGAGTGGTGTAATACAACTAAAATTTAGTAGTGTATCAAATGATATACTAAAAATTGTTATTCAAGATTCTGGTATAGGAATAGCTCCTAATGTTTTAGAATAAGTTAGAGTTACTCTTAAAAATGTTGAAGAAAGTAAGGATTTTTAAACATTTAAAGCATGGAAAGGTTTTGGTTTATTGATAGTTGCTTTATTGCATTAAAGTCTATGTCCTCCAACATATAAGTCAATTTAAATTGAATCAACTGGATTTAATAAGGGTACAAAGATTAAATTTTATATTTTAAATTTTAATTACAGTTCGAAATAAAATACTATTAAATAATCATTTAGTGCAAAAAATACACTAAGATAATCATAAAGTGTTAAGAAATCTTTAAAATCAAATTCTCTTAGTTAGATATTGCCAATGAATGGAACAATCTATTTAGCTTAAGATATTGCATAGGTAAGTTAACATATGAAAAAAAGTGAAAGATTTTTAAATTCTGGTTCAAATACTTTGGATGATTTTTCAGAATTATCAAGAAGTCCTAAAATATAATTTTGTTCACCTGATGCTAATATATCTTAATTAGTTTAAATTTAACCAGTTTTGATTACAGATATTAAATCAAGTTAAAAGATATCAATAAAAAATAAAAATCCTTTATTTTAATCATATAAATCATAAAAATCATAATTGGTTAATTTAAATTAATTTAGAAAAATGGAAACATAATATAGAGAAGATATATTCAAAACTTTGGCAACAAAAAAGAATAAATGTAATTGTAATTTCATTTTATCAGTTGATGATGAAATATTTAATTAAAAATCAGTTGAAAGACTTTTATAATAAATAGGATTTGATGTTAAATTAGCATTTAGTGGTGATGAAGCAATCAATTTAATTTTAAATTTAAAACCTTGTAGTTTAGGTTGTAATATTTTAACACTTATTTTAATGGATTATTAGATGCCAAGAAAAGATGGAATAACAACGACAAAAGAATTGAGAAAACTCATGTCAGATGGTTAGATTCCTGAAATTCCAATAATTGGTTTAACTGCTTTTACAGGTCAATAAGATATTAGAAATTGTTTAATTGCAGGCATGAGTGATGTGTTATCAAAACCTTTAAAAATATAGGAATTAAAAGATGTATTAGCATCTCTATGATTATAAATACTGTATATATATTTAATTAGAATAATCATAATAATGTTAGTAGTTCACAAAAATCATTAAGTTTTAAGGGTTTAAAAAGTACTTCTAGCATTCCAGCATTCAAACAACTTTCTACTTCTAATTTACTAGTAAATGCAGTTAATCCTATAATGTTGATATTTGGTATTATATCATCTTTCATCATTTATTTTAATTGAATTGTACATTCAATACCATCCATAACAGGCATTGAATAATCCATTAAAATAAGATTCAATAAACCACATTCTTTAGAACATTTTTAAAGTTATTATATTTTTTAAATGGCCTCCAAACCATTAAAAGCCTTAAAATATAAATATAAAATTACAATAATAACTTCAAAACCGAATCTCTCAATTAATAATTTAATTGAATTTTAATTAAAAATTTCATCATCAACTGACATTATCCTTCTGCATTAACAACATAGATTCTTCTTAAAATTTTCTAATGCAGAATCATTACTTTGTCTCTCCATTATTTTTAATTAAGTGTAACTAAGTATCTTTGATCTAAAGTTTATAAATATGACTTACTTCATAGATGATTTAATTGATTGTTATTCAAATGATCCACTTAACTTTTTTTTATCAATTATGTTCATTATGAAATTATGTTGTTAATTCTCTAATTATATGTATTATTATGATAAATTTTATTATTTATTTTCAGATTCAATAGATTCTTAATCATAATCAGTACTTCCTTTAAATATTTTATTTAATGTAGGTTTTGGTTTATTAATTAATCCTAGATTTTAATTACTGATAGCATTTTCATTTACAAAGATAAGTGTTCCTATCAGATTATTTTGACAATTCTTTTTAGAATTCCTTCTAAATTTAACAGATTTTTTTCTAGAGATATCATCAGTATTGTTGTTAAGTTCATCTATTAATATTTACTTAATTTTAAATTTAAATTTAGTGCCTTTATTTAATTTAGATTTAATTTAAAAAGTTTCTGATAATTATGGATTCAATTGATGTAACAAAATACTAGTAATAAGTAATCCTATCCCATTCCATGATTTCAATTTAGAAAAATGTCTTAAATTCTCTACTTGATTCACATAAGTGTTCAATTTTTTTGTAATTTCTGATTTTATTCCTATTCCTGTATCAGAAACAGAAAATTATATTATATCATCTTCTTAATTCTTAATTTTTAAAATTGCACCTCCATTATATGTATATTTTAAGGAATTTTAGATCACATTTACTAAAATTTACATTAGTCTATTATAATCGGTTGACATATGAATTGAAGTATTTTAAGTTAGATCTATTACAAAATTTAAACCTTTTTCTTAGAATTATAAATTAAAAATGCTGGTTATTTCATTTATTACATCTTTTATTTCAAATTCTTTTACACAAACATCTAAACTATTATTGTAGAATTATGAAAAGTCTATGACATCGTTGATTATATATGATTATAACTATAAGGCTATTGAGGCAGGTTCTAAACATTATTATTTAATAGACAATGGTAATTATTCATCAGCCATTGCAGATTTAATAAAGTTTATTGAACTATTCAATGGTGTTTTAAGTTCATGTGAGAGTGATTCTATGACCTACAATATTAAGAAAAAGTACTTTCTTTTAAAATTCATCTTTAACAATGAATTATTATAATTGCATTTATTTAGATATGTCTGATAATATAATAGTTAATTCATCATCTCCATTACTATAAAATATTGTTCCATTGATTTAAAATTATTATGAATCTAAAATTTAATGGCAATATAATTCAATTGAATTAGAATATGGTTTCATTAGATATTAATAAGCACCTGCTAAGAAATTTTATGAAATTTATGAAAGTGATAATTTTTTTAAATTTTCAATATCAAATTAACTTGAAAATGTTTAATTAACAGGTTTATTTAAAAATTATTTTCTTATAATATAGCTACTAGAATTTTTTAACATTTCTAAACTATCCTCTATAAATGTGAATTCTAATTTATTCATTATTAAATCATTAATTTCATTATCATTATAACATAATGTATTAAAATTCTTCCTGGCTGTCTCATTCTTAAATTTAATAGCTAAAGATGTTTTATTTAAAATAATAATTGAAATTGGTATAGCATGCATTCTCTTTATCCAAAGTTCTTCATTATTAATTAGATTTTCATTATTGTTTTGAACTTAAAATTTTGTGAAAATATCATCTTTATTAATTTCTTCATTTTTCATTTAATTTTCAACTAAATTTATATTTTCACTATTGATTTTCTATCCATCAACAGAAATTAGTTTTTGATGAGTTTCTAATTTATATTTTTATGTTTGCTTATTTGTTACATACAACAAAATAATTTAATAAATCTCAAGTACAATAGAATTGCATATAATTATAATTAAAACCTAGTTGTTCCAATAAAGTGATGCATAAGTTAAACTTAACACTTTAATAATGAGATAATCATAGGAATAATGATATTTTTCTTAGTTTTTCATAAAAATTCCTTTATCAAACATCAGTGGTAGAATGGCTAAACTATTCCATTCATCTTTTGATATTAATTAACTGATTGAAACTATTTCACAAATAAATTTAATAAATCTAGCAATCATTGGATCAAGTCTCTTTTTTAAGACAATTGCTAACAATGTTAGACTAGATGTTAATATGAATTTGATAAGCATAAATTATGAGTATGTGTGATTATATATATAATAGGTTAGATTACTAAATGAAAGTAGTAGTAAGTAGAATTCTACAGTATAGTTATTTGCAAAACACACATTCTCAAAACTTATGACATCAAATTCTTTTGGTTAACATTCTATTTTTATTTTCGTATGACTCATAAATTTATCAAGAAAAGTTTATTATCTTATATATTAATTAAATGCTGTAAGAAAATTTAACTCAACTCAATTTTAATCGGTTACAATATTCTCAATAATGACTTTGCAAAATAAAAATGAATTTATAGTTATTTCTTTGTAAATATTATTTCATTTACAAAATCTCTTCTATTATAGATTATGTAATTTATTTTGCAAAGTCATCTTTATTAGGATGTCATAACTCTAATTTAAGAAAGAGTTAAATGATTGAAAAACATTAATTTTAAAGATAACATTATTATTCTTATAATTTTTATTCATTAATTCTACTCCTCACTACTTTCAAATAAGTTGCTCTATTTCTGATTACCAAATATAAAATCTCCTTTTTGAATTAAGAACTTTATTCTTAATTACATAATTAAATAGCTAAAAATTAATTAAAAGTGAAATTTATTGCATAAAACTAATCTAATCAATATAATATAGGTGATGAATTTAGATCCTATGAATATTATTATGTTTTATAAAGATTATTCCTATTTATTCTGCAGAAGAAGATGTCATTTAAAGAATGATCTAAATTATATAAACTTTAGACATACTTAAAATATTTGAGAAAGAATAAAACAACATTAAAAGAAATATACAGATTTATTATGAATTATTCAAAAGAGTTGTATATATTATATAGCTTAAGGAAATTCTCTTAAATAAGGTGTTAATAATTGGAAAGTAATCCAATATTAGAATGATTAACAATGAGTTTTATTGTTAAATTTCATTATTTTTAACATAATGTTATCCTTAAAACAATAGTTTCATTAATTTTTTCTAAATAAAAGAAAACATTTAATGACCGTAAATATAAATTATAGTTTAAATTATTTAGATGCAATAAAAAGGATAATTTAAAAAATAGTAAATAGAAAAACAAAATATTATCAAATATTGAGTTGATGAAAAGAATCGCAAAGTTTTTCTTTTGTTATAGGTTTAATTAATACAGTATTGAAACCTTCATGAATGCTTTTCTATTAATCTTAAATACTACAAAAAGCAGTAACTGCAATTACAGGTATAGTTCTAGTTAATTTAATTTTATATTCCATTTGTCTAATTATTTATACAGCTTCCCAACCACTCATAATTGGCATATTGATGTCCATTAATATGCATTTGTAACCAATACAAGTTGATTTATTACATCTATTTGCTAATTAAACTTCTATTTTTTCTATAGCCTATTTACCATTAAATGCATAATCAACATCATAACCTAATTATTTCATAAGATGTGAAAGAATATGAATATTAAATTACTCATCATCAACTATTAATGTTTTTTTGCAATTACAAATACATGTTTCTACATTTCCTATCTAATTATCCATTTAAGATTTACTACATTTATTATAATTCATCACTCGAACTTATTAAGTGCTTTATTATTCTATAAATGGAATTGTATGAATAAATGAATTTTATAAATTATTTTGATCTTATTTAACTTACTCTTCATCATATTATAATACGAAATAAAATTATGAACCTTCACCCAATTATGATTCAACTGAAAGATAATTTTAATGGGCAGGTGATAAATGTTTTATAATTTACTTACAAACCGATAATCCTAAACTTATTCCAACTGATTATTTTGATACTTTTTCATCTTCATCAGATAAATGCAACTATTTCTATTATAAATAACTATACCTTCTTTCTCAAATTACATAATTCTTTCTCACACATCCCTATTCCAGTATCACTTATAGAAACTTATATCAAATTTGAATCTGATTATTGAAATGATTGTACATCATCAATACCTTACATTGAATCTATATATTGTTTTTTCTAAACCTATATTGTAATTCCACCCTTTAAAGTAAATCTAATAGCATTTGCTATTAAATTTAAGAGTACTTAACATAATCTTTATCTATCACCTATTATTATATATGAAACCTCTGATAATTCAACATTTATTGATATAAGTTTTCTTTCAATTTAATCTTTTAATAAATCTACACATTCCCAAATAACTGAATTAATTTCAAATTTATCTGATTTCAATATTAATCTATCTTCTAAAATATCTCTGTAATCAAAAATATCTTATATTTTATATAATTATAATTTAGTATAACAAAGTGCTTATTCTAATTATTAAGAACAAGACTCTTAAGAAGATTATTTGTCTTAACATTATTTGATGAATCCAAAAATGGCATTAAGATTAGTTAATAATTCATGAGAAATTGATCTAAGAATGTTCTTTTTAATTGATTCTAATTTCTTAAGTTTTGCTCTTAATAGAATTTAATTGATTTCATGAATAAAATATATTTGTAATCCATCATCATTATCAAATAATCTACAATTTTCTAAGACATTAACTAGAAATTTCATTTTATGATTAATAGTAGGTTTAGTTTTAGGAATCATATTTAAATCTTAATCTAATATAGATTATTTTTAATTTGAAATGCTATATTCTTTATTCTCTTTAGATAATAATTGATCAACAGAAATTTTACGACCTGGTGTCATATATACAGATGACTTATTTAATTTGATTTAATTTTAAGATCTTTTACGAGAACTCTTTTTACCAGCTGAATGAATCATAATCTAAGGAGAATTATTGAATTCTATCTTCATAGTTACATCTGATGTGAATTTTTTTTTGATAATACTATCATCTTCTTAATTTTTAAATGATTAAAAAAATTTTTATTATTATTAGTGACTTTTAGGGGGTAATTATTAGATTTCAACAGAAAATCGATTTTATGATAATAATTGTGTTTTTTCTTTACAATAAGTTACATTTTTAATTTTATATTAATCTTCCATATCAAGATCATCATCATCTATATCAAATAGAGTTTGATTATTATTTAATTCATCTAATTGTAAGTTCTATAAAAAACTTAACTAATTTCTAGCTGAATGAATAGTAGAGGCTTTTTCAGGTGATTAATCAGTATCACTTTAATTTGTACTTTCTAATTTGTTAGCTAAATTATCAAAAATCTTATTAGAATAAAGTAAGAAATTCTTATCTTTATGAACAATACACATAGCTTAAGGAGTAGAATCAATTATCATAAATAATGCTTAAAGATTTTGAAAATGTTATAAATAAAGGAACTCTTTTCTTAATATTTATAAGATTAAAAGTACTGTTGAAAGGTACAATCCTTCAAATGAGTGTAAGTCAGAAAGGAATATATTCTGAATTAAGAATAATAAAATTGTGAAAAACTTCATATGTAAAGTAGAGTACATACTCTAATAGATAGTAATAAGTGTAATATAGAGCATAAAATAATCTTTGTCTTTGATAATGTAACAGATCCAATACATACAGTATTATTAAATGAGAGGTAAAAATTGAATGAGGAAATGGGATTCTTGTGAAATAGCTTTAGAAATAAATAAGAATAAGAGGATATGTATACATATTTGTATTGCTAATGTAATTTAAATGTACAAGTTATTTGCCATAATAGATAATCGTATTATAATGAAGATGATTTAGAGTATTAAAATTGGTCTGAATACAGTATCAGCCCATAAAAAGTGATTATGCCATCTCCATTGTTGATATTGATCCCACTTTAAGATTTTTAGATGCTTATAAAATGACTTCCAAATGATTTGCCATTAGGGCATGATTATTTTATTAAATATATATACATAAAGGATAATGTTTAATATATATGATTGTAACATATAAGTATTAATGCTAATCAATAATATCTTTAATTAATTTTATCTCTAACTTGCTTTTAGAGTACTAAAACTTGATATAAAAGATGAAGGAAGAAGACAATAATATCAAATAAGTAATCAAATATATAAAATATAATCTAAGGAAGAAAACCAATTTTTTATCCCCAATTATATCATACCAATAAATTATGCTCCAATTTCAAATGAAATAGAGAATTATAAGATGGCAATTCATCATTTAACCGAAGAGAATCACTTTTTGAGAAAACAACTCTAACATAATTAAGTATCAGAGTTTCTCTCTTTGAATGCAGAATAACTAAAAGATGAAGTATTTAAAATGATTGACTATTTGATGAAAAATCTCAATTACTTACCAAAAGAATAAATATTTGCATATAGAAAAACTATTCGATTATGCACATAGAGGAGTGTACTTAAAAGAATCTATTTTCTTATATTTACTAGATATTTATAAGTAAATTGCATATAAAAATGATAGGCTGAAAAAACTAAAGAAGAAATGATTAAATTCATTATTCGTAAAAGTGTGAAGTATTAAAAATACACTAGTACCATATAGAAACATTAAATGAAAAAAATGAATAATGCATTCGTTTAGCAATTATTTCTATCAACTCAATATCAGTAACATTACTCAAATTTTTTAAGTAAAAATAATATATTTCAATTAGATCAATATCTACAATTAGCACTTGATGAAAATAAACACAAAATTCAAAAATATGTGGATTTCATTGTTGAATAAATATCAAATGATTAAATAGATGTATTATTTTTATTTATTTTATAAGGATGTTCTAAATTATAAAAGATTTCCATGGTTGAATGAATGGATACAATAATCTGTCTAAATTGCTAAAGATTTATAGTATAGTAGCAAACCATAAAGTTTGGAGAACAAGAAAAAAATTAAATTCTGATTAAAGAAAGACTTAATTAGATATAATTATGAAGAAAAACAAATAGTTTGTATTAGCTATTAATATTAAATTAATCAATTATTCATTATAGTTGAACAAATTGGACTATCTTATTCACAATCTATCTAAGCAATTTAATAAAACATAGCAGCCAAAGTCCATGTT